AGTCCGGGAGGGTCGGGGGAGGGCAGCCCGGGGCGGGGCGGGAGAAGGGTGGGGGTCTGGGGTCGGGGCGGAGGACAGTCACCTCCCCCGGAGGTTCCGCGTCCCCGCCGGGCGGTCCTCTCCCTCCTGCCCCTCACAAGCCCTTTCCTCCCGACCCCGCACTCACCCGCCCAAGTCTGGGGCGCGGCCAGGGCCCCCAACAGCAGCAGGAACAGAGTTGGGGGCATCACGACCCGCATGCTCGGGGTCTGGGTTGAAATGTGAGTCTCAGGAGGCGGGTGCGGAAACTTGATACCCCGGAACCGCGGTGCCGCTGATTGGCTTCTCCGGAAATCGTACACTAATAGGAGTGTGAACCGAAGCCGCGTCATCAGTATCCAGGCAGAAGGACCTGACACAGGTTGTGACAGGGAGAAGTGAAACCAGGGCAGATGGGGGCTCCCCAACACTGGGCTTCCCCGCCCCCGACGCCGCCCTGGGGCCAGAGACCCTGAGAGGCGGGCCTGGGGACCTGGGACTTGGCCTGGACACTTCACCTACTGCACAGAGCTCTCTTTGTCCCACTGTGTCCCTGAGCCGTGGACCAGGAGCTGCGTGAGTCACTGATTCTCCAGCATTTTGTTCTCAGGACATCTCTCCAGTCTTACAAATTAGTGAGGGTCCCAGGGATAATTGTGTGCCTGTGGATTATATCGATCCTTATTTACCACAGTAGGACTAAAACAGGTTCAAATATTTATTAATTCATGTACAATCACATGAAAACAGAAATATTGTTAGTATGGAAAGTAACAATGTTCCCAAATAAAAGGGGCAGTGAGAATAGTTTTTCTGTTACATTTCACATTTTTGCAAGTCTCTTTCTTGTCTGTCTCATTAGAAGATCACTGGATGTTCAGATTTGCTTCTGCATCTATTGTGTTGTTTTGGTTGAAGTATATGAAAAAAATGTATGTCCTTGACCAAATATAGGAGAATAGTATGTGTCATAACCTTTTCAGATAATTATGGACATTCATCTTTGGTACTATAGTAAATCTACACACCGTGTATTTTCTGTGAGGTTTTAGTAAACTGGAATCTGAAACAGTATCATTGACTGTGTTTTTCTGTTACATTAAATCCATAGGCACATCTGCACATGGAATGGATCTTGTACTAATGCATGAATGTTTTTAAGTAACGTGTTGTGTGTTGTTTCGCTAAGTAATATAGGTGTTCCAGCATTAATTAGAGTGGAATCGAATTATAAAAAAGTCACTTGTTTGGGGCACCTGGTTGGCTCAGTGGGTTAAGCCTCCGGCTTCGACTCAGGTCATGATCTTATGGTCTGTTAGTTCAAGCCCTGCATGGGGCTCTGAGCTAACAGCTCGGAGCCTGAAGCCTGCTTAGGAATCTGTGTCTCCCTGATTCTCTGCCCTACCCCTGCTTGCACTCTGTCTCTCTCTTTCCCTCAAAAATGAATAAACGTTAAAAAAATTTTAAAGAACGTCATTTGTTTTAATATTACCACAAATCCCAACAGAAAAGATGGTTAGTACTGAGAGCTGTCAAGCTTCTGGGTGGGTCACAGGTTAAACGTTATGAGCTTATGGGTAATGGGTTCTAAGGAGGGCACTTGTGATGAGCACTTGGTGTGGTATGTAAGTGATGAATCACTCAATTCTACTCTTGAAACTAATATTAAACTGTATGTTAACTAACTGAAATTTAAATAAAAACTTGAGATAAACAAAGTAATGGTAAAAAGCAGCGATTGCTCAGTAACCAGCACAGGGAGATGTTTGGTATTTGGTGGGTCGTACGGTGCCTTGTTTTTGTCTCTAATTAGATAAAGTAATGTCACGGTTTCCGAGTGTCCTTGTGTGCTGTCAATGTTCCGTGAGATGACTGGCTCATGTCCCACAGGAATAGTATGGCCCAGTGGTGGCATCAGTCAGCTTCTCACCACACTGAGGCCCAGCTGTCAGTGTCAGAACAGTTCCCGATGTGGGGGCTGCTGTTTCTTCTGTCTTCAGTTGCATATTTTAAAATAGCTACAACCCATCAATAATAATTAAAGACTTGGTATTTTGGGGAAGCTGGGCAGCTCAGTCTGTTAACCTGATCTCATCGTTTGTGAAATGGAGCCCTGTGTCAGGCTCTGCACTGATAGAGTGGAGCCTGCTTGGGATTCTCTTTCTTGATCTCTGTCTCTGTCTCTGCCCCTCCCCTGCTCATACTCACTCTGTCTCTCTCTGTCATGAAATAAATAAATGAACTTTAAAAAAATCTGGAAGGACTTTTCAATCCTTAAATATTCCAATATACATTGGCCCTATTATGGTTCTTAAATATGTTTATTTCTTCTTGTATCACACCCTGAGGAGAAGCTTTCTCTCAGCTTACAAATTCTGCAACTTATTCAACACTAAAACTACTCCCAGAATTAGCGTAGGTCTTAAGTTTAATATTTCATAAGCAAGAATATTGGTCATGGTTGTTCCAGACCCTAGTTCCAATACTTATCCCTTTGTCATGGAGTACCTCATTCCTGTCTCCTAACATGTCTGCCAGATTTGGTTACTGTTCTCTGTATCTCCTCAGAGGCCGATTTGCTCAGGAAAATCCAAAGCAAAGGAGAGAAAGGAAGAGTAATTTTACTTAGAGGAATAAAGGAATCATGTAGTGGGGAATAAGAGGGACTTAGTGGGATTCATGTGGATGGTATACTTCCAGAAATCTCCCACTCTGGCACATTGTCACTCTCCCCTCCACACACACCCATGGGCCCACATTCCCCTACTCTCCACACACAGGCGAGAACTTTGTGAAGTCTGTGCAGCGTTGATATGCCCTGGCCCAGGTACTGGTGGAGCAGAACTTGCCAGCCATTGCCATACACTGTGAGACCCTTCAGGAGGAGAGGTGAGGGAGAGATGGAAAGATGTCTTGTATCCTTGGGAATGAATGAGATCCCTGAGATAAAGGACTGTGAACATTTTTATGATTGTCTTTATGACAAAGGCTTTCTTGGTCACAGTAGTTTAAAGGTCTTCAATATCGAATTCTTGTGGCCAGCAACCTATGTGGCCAAGGCATGGACATTAAGCAGGTGAACTCTGCCATCGACTACCACCGGCCTGGCGATTCCCACACCTACCTGCATCGGGTAAGCTGCACACCCACACGGACCTCCCAGTGTCCTCTCCCAGCCCCTGATTTCCTATGTCTTCGTACATTACACCCTCGTCCCTCCTTTTGGGTGTCTTCCTACTTTGGGGTCTTCCAGTGCTACCCTCTGTCCCCTTCCAGGAGGCCTGTGCAGGCCAGTTGCCCGAGGGGATTGTCCATCACGTTTGTGTCAAGTGAAAACAGTGCCAAGATCCTCAGTGAGGTGCAGGGTCAAACTGAGGTCGATGGTACTGAACTGCCTGAGGAGATGGACATTTCCTCCTCCAGTGAGTGAGTGAGGATCTCATGAAATTAGTTCCTCCAACTCTTCACAGTCTCTTTGTTCCTTAGAGACTTTGTCTTGAACCATGTAGTGGAGGCAATGGTGCCTGATGCCTAATGGATGCCTGACAAGTTTATGCACCCTGACCTTGATCCCATGTTGGGATGTTTTGTTCATTTCTATGTCCAGTCCCTTTCATCTCTCATCCAATTAGTTGTTTTTGCACCCCAGTGTCTCCTCTGACCCCACACCCCACATGAACACCTGCATGTATAGGGGTCTGTGTTTCTGCCAGTCTCACTTAGCCTTCCCATGCCTTATTGTAACTGTGCATGTTTTCTCTGCAGTTGCAGTCATGGGAGAGGACGCACCCATTCACAGAGCCTGATGCATATCTCAC